AAAGAGAGAAAGGAAAGGAAGGAGGGAAGGAGGGAAGGAAGGAAGGAAGGGGAAAAAGAAAGAAAGAAATTCCTGCAGCTCTTGGTACTGAAGGAAGTAAGAAGCCTGTGCATTTCACAATCCTAGCAAAGGGTGTAGGTCTTTGGGTCCAAGAGAAGTGAAGTGAGCACAATGATCAAAGGGTTTGGCACTGCTCCTGTTTGCTTCTTCTAGAACTCCTGTTGATCCCCTTTTTATCTATCCGGGCTCTGTCTACAATTTCACTTAGGAACAAAGGGTCCATTTCACCCATAAGTCTTAATATCTTTGGAGTGGGATGGGTCAGATGCTAATTCTAGGATTAGACGCTTCCTTGCAGGGCGTTCTACAAGCCCGCAAAACCAAGGGCTTCCAGTTTCTCCTGCTTATTGCCCTAGCTCTGGTGCCTGCCTGCCAGGTCTTCCCTCCATATTTCTTATATCTCGACTGACCTCGGTCTGCCCTCTCAGATGACAGTCTCTCACCGATAATCGCCACTCCTCTGTTAAGACTGAGTCATTTTTGTTCTGTTTTGTTTTGTTTTGAAGTATAGTTAACATGCAATGTTATATTCGTCTCAGGTGTACAGCAAAGTGATTTAGTGATTCTTCACATTCCCCGGTGTTCACCAGGATAAGTCACCAAACAACGTTATTAGAATATTATTGACTATATTCCCCACGCTGTACTTTTCATTCTCCATGACTTATTTATTTTATGACTGGCAGTTTGTACTTCTTAATCTCCTTTCTTTATTTTGCCTATCCTGCCAGCTCCCTCCCCTCTGGCAACCATTAGTTTGTTCTCTGTTTAAGCATGGTTTGCCGGTTTGTATGCTCAACACCACTCATCATCAGGGAAATGCAAACCAAAACCACAATGAGATATCCCCTCACACCTGTCAGAATGGGTCGCATCAAAAAGACAAGAAATAATAAGTGTTGGTGAGGATATGGAGAAAAAGGAACCCTGGCACACTGTTGATGGGAATGTAAAGTGATGCAGCCGCTGTGGAAAACAGTATGGAGGACGGAATTTGACACCACCTTCCTGAAGGAATCCGTCCTGATTTCCTAGCTCCCACTGCTCCATATGTGACATGACAGGGTTATGTGGCTTGTGAGTCCCCCACGTCCCAGGCCCTGAGCTCCTTGAGGAGAATCCAAAGTATCTCACCAATCTTACTGAAATGAACTGAAAGCTGACTAAAACAATGTCCCGATGTGGCTTTCTTGTGACAGACCAGGTATTTCTCATGGCAAAACTGTTGGGCATTCAAGAGGAAAGTTGTAGCATGGTTTCCACATGTTGTTCTGGCTTTTTAAAGCTACCGAAAAGATCCAATGTGAAGGTATAAGGAAAATCAGATTTTACTCCGGGGTGGTAAACTGACACAAGCCTTCAAAATTAACTGAAGTGAAGAAAAATCATTAACTTTGTACACCTGATGACACATAAAGATGAGGGGATATATTCTGGAATATGAACATATCATGTGTGAATTAAAACTATTAATTAAAGAGCACCTTCTGAATTATCATTTTATTATATCACATAGTTGTTAACTGAAAAAAATACATGATCTTAGATCTAGAAGGACCTCAAGGACTTTTTAGTGAAACAGCCTCACTTCACAGGTGAGAGAACAAAAACTAATCACTTTCCGGCCCACAGAGATGACAGTTAATGACCCTGGGGTTAGGGGCTCCTGTCCAAGTTGCAGCTGCTGTCTGTTGAGCTGCCAGCAGGGAGTTGGCGGAGTTTACCAACTTGCTTATCACAGTCATACTTGTGATTTGGATTACGTAATTTAATTAAATGTTATATAAAATAATGAGGCCTTTGTGTAAAAGAGGAGAGTACTTATTCCTATGAAAACCAAATTCACTGTTTTGGGAAAGGTTGTCAAAGGGAGAGTCAAACATCAATACCAATTAGTTGCATGTTACATAACTATAACTACGGGGGAATGATAGAAACACGTACAAGGAATCTGCATTCATACCATCACTTCCCTGGAAAATTCCTATTCCCCTTTCAGAACAATCTTATACACACACAAAAGATTCAGCCTGGGCATAAGCTTATGAATTCTAATCAGCAGATCTGTATCAAAGCAGCAATGACAAAACCAGAACGCAGACTTTGCAACCCCCGCCCCCACCTCACCCTTGCGGCCCCAAAGCTCAAGTTACGGGACTTTATGTGCATTCAAATGTGTGAAGTTAAAATACCTAAGACGTGCTTTAGCCAATTCTTAAGGGGTCCTAATAATCTAAAATATGGAGTTTTTAATGTTCCAGGGCAGTATTTATTTTGTTGATTTAATGATATGCTCTACTTGTTTCCAGTTTTGACTGGAGTGGTTTAGAAACAAACTTAAAACAACACTTGCAAAATAACACAAAAAGGAGAAGAAATAACACGTAACAAGAGAGGGTAAAGAAATAACTTATAAATCGGCATATTTAAAGCCATGCCACCCTCCTTAGTGAAATCAGCTCCTGACAAACTGCAATCTACAGATTTGAAGATGGAGACTGTAAACACAACTCCAGCTTATCTATTTTGTGCTCACGGTTGAATGAGTCTGTGGTTGCTATTTTACAAATTCACTATGAATGCCACTGCAAAGTCAGACACCTGGCAGCCTAAGAGGAAAGTAGGGTAGCTCGGCTTCCTGGCCTCCCCGCACCCACTTATGCTGGTCAGTCCTGCTCTCCTCATGCAGAGGCCATGCACCAGGCTGCACAAAGTTCCTGCAGTTCAAACATTCCCCAAAGCAAAGATAAAGACTCCTTGTTGAGGTTTCAGAAGACGCAGTGTTAACATTCCAAATGCCTGAAAGGAGCACACAGAAAGCCAGGCGTGTGAACACTCAATGTGCAGTGTATGGACCACTGTCCAACCCGGAGGCCAGTCACGCCTCGCACTGGCCACTGGAAGGACGTGTCCTGCAGCAGACGGTCCGCATCCATGTTCCAGCCTAATGCTGTGTGTGGTGATGACAAGCAGCCTGCTGCATCACACATGAGAGCCGGAGGACTCAGGAGGACTTTGTGATGGGGACATTTTAAAAGGACACATTTCTGCTACTCTATAATTGGTGGTGAATTTACAAATTAGCTGCAAATTGAGAAGTGGAACCCCAACGAACTGCAAAGCCAGACTTGCCCCCAGGTTTATTCAATGTAGACACTGTGCTTACAGGAAACATTTAAAATAATGATAGTGTTGCACAGACTGCCAAGAGCCTATCTACACTGTCTTCTTGCTTCACCTGGAGTATTCCTGAAACCATGGAATTCCTTGCTGCTAGCCTCTCCTTCTCCCAGGACATCTTGTGCAGGTTAGCATTTCACAGGGAAGTCTCTTCTAGAGTCACTCTCCTGCTTTAAACACAGGATGAAGATCAAACTCCCTTGCATGGCATGCAGGGCCCTTTAAAAGCTTCCCCTTGTCACCTTTCTACCCCCTCATGCCATGTAGCCCCACACCTTCCTGCTTCCTTCCCTCTCCCTGGGATATTGCCTGCTGTTCCCACTTCATTAAACTATCACACTCAGAAAATTCCAAAAGCGGATCAAACGGCATCTTTTATCAGTAGCTTGCTGTGACTCTTATTCGTATTTCCCATTTCTCAGCTCTGTGTTCCCATAACATTCAATTCCCATCTCTGTGACAGCCCATTCCACACAGATTTCTACCAGCCCCCTGCCTTCCCTGCATGCTATCTGGCTCTCCAGAATGCTATTTCCTTCATCTTGGGTCTCAGTGCCTAGCACAGGGCTGGATCAGAGCATACGTGCAATCTAATAATGATGCTGACAACTGAAATGATAATGTTATAATAAATCTATCCACAGGTAACACTTACTGATTACCTATGATGCACCAGAATGGAACTAGGTATTTGATACGTTCTATATAATTTCATCTTTGAACATCTCTAAGGAGGCAATGTTTTTTTTTTCATTTTATAGATATTCTGAGATTTAAAACTGTTTAAATACTTTTCACAAGCTCTCAGTACTAATAGGTGGTGGAATGGAGATTTAAACCAGGTCTCTATGAAGCCAAAGTCAATGTTCTTGCAAATTCAATCTGCATGATACTCTGAATTGTTCTACATATATTATACATTTACTAGTCTAATATTCTACATAAGTATAAAACAAATTCTAGTGGTATAAAAACATTCATACCCTTAGTATTACAAAATAAAGGCCTAATGTTGACAATTAGCTCCATAATTTGCAATTTTAAGCTTCTCTGAAAGATTTCACATTAATATACCATAAACTATTAGTAAACATGTTAGTCTTCAATATCTAGCCAACTATAGACAAAACTTCTTAATAAAACATTTCTTTAATTATTTTTAACTATTTTGGAGGATGAAGGGTGGTGAGCATGAAGAGCAGTTAGTGTTGTTTCCTGGAAATGTCCCATACTTGTAAGTTAAAAGGAAATTTGAATCTCACCTATAGAGAACATAATATTAATACTTTACTGAAAGGCATTAATGATGTAGTGAATAAGCCTCAACTCAACATTCTGATGATAAATTTAGAATTATTTGTTCTTTTGACAAAAACTAATTTCTATTTTCATTTCACTACTTTGCTCTGCCTAAGAAAGCCAACTTGTGACATTATCATATCAATAAAAAGGCCTTGATTGGATTACCACAGAGCAGGAATGCAGGAGACATGCCAACCTCTCTTAGTTGAGATGTACTAGCAAGTACTACCAAGGAAGCAGCAACATTTACATTTACAAAGGAAGTGGGTGGACAAAGGCGTTTACTGCTTAGTTTCTAGAAATCCTTCCTTTAATATTTGGCTTCTCCCAAGATAACAATTATTAAAGGCTCTGCAATAACATCCCCAGGCAACCAAATCCAGCCACACAAAATGTCCTTTAACACTTCTCCCTCTGACCAAGAAATATACAAATCTAAGCAACATTTGCACACTTACTTTTTCAGTTTTTGTCGAATCTCTGAATCTTTAATCTCATTTTGAAGATCCTCAAAATTTTCAACAGAAGTCAAATTGCAGAAAACTCTGAAGTCAGCATAGGGAGGGATCCCATGGTCTCGCCCCCTTTGAATGTTGGTGGCAGCCAAATCCAGGGCCACAGAGTGGGCGGTGGAGAACAGCTTCTCAGTCAGCTCTAAACTGAGCAGTTGGGAGGGCACCCGCAATTTAGCAGCCACACCAAATAGCCCCCGAAGGAGTGGATCTATCCCACCTTCCTCAATTATTCTGGAGGGTGAAAAGAAAGCTTTATGGAGTGGAAGGTGGCCTTCAGGGATTTCTCCGAAGGTGTCATTCAGTCGATAAAGAATAGGATTGATTAACGTGTGACCAAATCTGAAGGCTGCAGTAGCAAAAGAGTTAATGATCCCTGCATTCACATTGGGGTTGTAGCCCTGGTAATCCCGCAGCATCTTCATGCCAGGTTCCCCCAGAATCTTGGGCAGCCAGTGGCTGTAGGTGATGTGCTGCAGCTGAGCACCCACAATCTTCCTGGCTTCATGATAAAGGGTGTCTCCGTCCCAGTGGGGGTTCAGGGCAGACAGCTCCGTGGCGACCCTGTTGTGTTCCCGAAACCACAATGTGTGCATGGCTGTGAGGGCCAGCTGCTCATTGGCCCTGTGGTCCCCAGCCAGGAAACAGGGGCTGCGGCTACCCTGCTCCCACCCTGTGCACTCAGTGGGTGGGCCCGCAGCAAAGGGCAGTAAGGGCTTTCCCGACCGCATCCACAGGAAGCCTGTCCTCAGGAGTCCCCGAGGCTCTGAGTAGTCTCGGAGAACTTGGGATTCCCGCTCCGAGCTCCCATAGACATTAGAGGCATCTATATAGGCTGTGAGTTGGTTAATCTGTTCTCTCGTGTAGACTGAATTCATCACTAAGGAGGTCATGCCACTGCCACACACGGGGCTGGAGCGTGCAAAGAACATGCACGGTGCTCGGGTCCCTCGGGGGTCAGTGTCAGGAATGATGATGGGGAAGCAAGGAGGATCATTCGTACACACCGAGCTACACGGCTGCCCATCAGAGAAGCGAGATATGCTCAACGCAGGCACTGTGTGGTCCAGATCGTGGTCTAAAAATTGGCCCCACTGCATGAGCATGTGTGTGTATCTATGGTCACGAGTGACTGTGGCCGTGGCTGCCAGCTCTGTGGAGACCAGCCTGGGTGGTGGGAGGGGATACCGGCCCGACAGGGCCTCACGGCCCACCCCACGCGGCAGGTTGAAGCCGTTCTCGTAGGCAGGCTTCAGGATGCGCTCAAAGGCGGTCAGGGATGCACCCCACATGGGGTGCTGCAGGTTGTTGCACGTTCCGTCCTGGGCTCGATACTTCTGATGGAAACACATGTCAGAGCACTTGGGCACCTGCCTGTGGGCTGTACATCCAGATAAATTGGCTATGAGGCTGAGGTAGTGTGGGGACACCAAGTCATTGTAGAGGAACTCTGAAACACAGAACAGCAAGGGCAATGAAGAGAGCTGTCCTTGAGGTAGAGTGAGAGGGGGAACCTCAAGCCCAGGCGCCGTAGGGATGGGCCACTCTAGGCGTGCAGAAATCTTTCCTACATCCACCACATTTCATTAGGACAAAGCCGAAAGTTCTAATTAAAAGGGGGTGGTACTTAGTGATGCTTCTCTTATGAGCAATGATGAACTGCCAGAATGAACAGAAAAGGAGAGAAATGTCCCAGTTCCCATCAAGCTCTTAGTTCTGTGACTTTACCAATATAATGTTGGTAAGGATTTGGTAAGTCCTCATCACAAGATTGTAAAATTTTTTTTTCCCATTTCAGAATTCTTTCTTTCAGGTTTTATGCTCCTAGAAGACAGGGTCTAAGATGTGCTAGTGTGGTTGTGTGAATATTAACCTGCGTGATAGTTGATATGAACGGATTAAGCAGTAACTTGTAAACTACCACAAGCTGTCATCCCCCAGGGAATGTGCAATACAACCTGGAGGTGTTTTGGAGCCGCTCTTTTAACAGAGCTTAAAATTGCAGCATAGTCCTAAATCTGCAGAAACTCTTCACTAAGTCCTGCTTGCTAAGAGTTATTATCCCCACTTAATCATCAGAAACTGCCTAATAATACCAGGACCATTTGTCCTTTATCTGTGTAAGCTGGTCTCTGTCTGGCTGGACCCTGAGATATCTTAATCTTGGACAGATACAATAATCTTTCTATATATAAAGACATGGATCCTGGGTTCACTTTTAGGGCAAACTGATCCTGGAGGGAAAAATAAATAAATAAAGGCCTTTAACTTTACAAATAATAAAAGAGAAGTAGAACAACATAATATTTTTTTCTTGAGTAAATTTTGTTAAAATTCTTGAATATTTTAGATGAGAATACTCAGTTTGGTAATGAACACCAAAAACAATGGATGCATATTTTAGCAAAGTTAAATCTCTGTAGATATTCATTGCTTATTCTCTAGTTATGAATTTAGATTAAGTTATTATTGAAAATTGTTTCTTCCAATAGATATGTGTGAGAAGAGAACTCAAAGGCCCTTTGTCCTGACCTGGAGCTGGGCTTTTTGCAGACCTGACCACAGCTAACTCATCCTTAGTAAGACTCGGAATGAAATTTGATTCAAGCGCTATATGGACTATATGGAAATTTCACTTGGATATTTTAGTTAAGGAAACTCTGAAACCCGACATAATGGATCATTAGGAGCTATTAAATAGAGCTTTTTGAGTAATTGTATAGGGCACCTAAAGGGTGAGCCATGCACAGAAAGGGGCTTGTGCACTGTATCTTGGTTTATTTTCTTTTTTGGGGGGGTGGTTATTTTCTGAAGGCAAGTAAAGAAAGGGTAAACCTCTAGAAGTTGCTGTTGTGCTAACAGAACAAATAGGGTATAGCAAAGGATCATATTTTTACTTCACTTTAAAGAGAAAGACTTAGAAAATCTGAAAGATTTCTAAATCATTCTCATTTGACATTTACTAAATAAATGTCTGGTTTTGGAAAAAGTACATGAGAGCTTCAGTATAGCAACAACAACAAAAAAGATCTGGGAGGGATACGTATGTTATAGGTGGAGTAAGGAATTCAAATAAATTCACTGAATGGTTTAGGTCATTCCAATAACAAGGAGAGGAACACTACCCTAGGAGTAAAGCCTTTTTCATAGGAAAGAGGAATATCTCTTGGATTCAAAACGTCCACCTAAAATGGGCCCCCTAGATTTACTTGACGTAGATAGCTGCTAGAAGTTGACAAGTTTGAATATACATTTATCATCCTTTCTTTTGAATTATAGTTCTTACGAGAAACATCTGCATTCATTTGGTAAAGTGGTAAATTAATTTCTACATCACATGGAGTTTTGGAGATTAAAAACTGAGGGGTGATCAGTTTTGCTACTGACAGTAGGCTAAGAACAGAATGCGCCCCAGAAGCTGACCTCTGCCCTCCAAATCAACAGTGAGCCCCTGCTTCACGTGTTGCTGGATCAGCAGAAGTGTGTGCTCAAAAATCTCTCCAGCTCTTGCTGTCTCCACGGTAAATGGGTCATACGGATAACGAAACTGAGCCAGCAGATCACTAGGGGTGCGAGGTTTCCTGCAAATGACAAAAGACATTACTGTTCACAAGGCAAAACTGCAGAATCCATGAATCTCACTGTGCATTTAAGAATACATTTCCCAAACAATCAAGAAGAAGAAAAGTTTTACCACCAGAAAATAAGCTTCACAGGGGGAGCTGAGAGTTCTTTTCCTACTTTATTAATGAGTGAATCCCAAATGCCAGTGCCAGTGCTGAACTCAAAAGATATATTTTTAATGAATCAATGATTTAAAGAACAGTTTTCTATAAAAGGTAACATTTATGGTGAAAGTTATAAACTTGTGGGGTCTACACATAGGTCTGAGGGGGCTCAGCAAACCCTCTGAAACAGCATGCAAGACACTCAGTTTCTGGACATTGGCACTGTCTTTTCTTTCCTCAAATGTAACTGCCTGGAAGATGCTGGAAATTCCCACTCATGTTTAAAACCCTGCTCAGGCATTGTTCTCCCCAGAAAGTCTCCCTGGTAACTCTGACAAGCTACCACCTTCTCAATTATGTCTGTATGCTCATATACATCTATTACATACACAACAAGATGTACTTAAATTGTTGACATATTGTCTCTTCTGCTACAGAAAGACTGTGTCAGGGATGAGATGGTGCCTTATACATCTTTATATTCCATGTACCAAGCCTAGCAACCAGCATACACATTGAAGAACTGAACTAATTAAGTTAAAAGAATATTAGTCACTGAGAATGTGAAACTGTTTTAGAGATTTTGGTCAACGAAGGCATGTCTGGTCCTCTACATCAGATATTGTAATAACTTTAGATCATAGAATAGTAATGATATTAATAGCTCACTTTAATTAAGCCTTTTCCATGTAGCAGACACTGTTGAGACACTATCTGTACTAACTTATTCGATCTTGCTAGCAAGTATGTCCATGAAACAGATTCTATTGCTATCCCCATTTTACAGGCAAGAAGTGCGAGGTACTAAGATGCTTAGTTACTTGCCCAAGGTCATCCAGATAGGAAGTGATGAAGTGAGGAATCACTATAAAGATATAAATAAGCTGTATGGCTCTAGAACACAAGTCCACGATCAGCGAGACATGCTGTTGTGGTATGCAAGGAGCAGAGCTATACTTGATTATGGTATTATAAGGTATTCCTTTTGGACCGACAGCTGCAAAGACTGGGTATATACTTTATTTGACTTTAAAGACAACAGTCATGTTTTCATTAATATGTTCAGGTGATGCAAAACTGCATCCCTTGTACCTCCATCAGGACGGATGGGGACTTTATAGAACCTGAAGTCTTCACTACTCTAAAGATGTTCTGGTTCAAATAAAAATAACGAAAGTACTACATATCCTAAACAAAACTTTCATCTGTGAGCTATCAGTTTATGGCCAGATGTGTTCAACTTGACAATCACTCTCAATTCCTGGATTGGCAGGAGCGCTGGGTCTGACCCTGGTGGATGCTGACCTAAGAGAGCCCATTACCTGATACCTATCATAGAACCACATAGAGTGGATCTGTGATGTAAATTTATGCCATTTAGATTCTGTGGGGAGCAAGTTTCATTCTCTTTGAGACTGAGCTGGCAATAGTGGCTAGCGGTGATAACATGCACACAGACTAAAGAAAACACCCACTTTTGGCAATCTTATGAACGATGCCTGCTGTGATTTATGGAGATTATAAAAACCAAGTAGGACTGAAGTGAGAACAATTTTGTAATCAAAATAAAATAAATTCTTACTGTGAAAACAAATGTCTTCGTGTGGAGTTAATTGCACTGTCAACCCTCTGTACAGCATCAAGAATGGATGATTCAACAAAGTCATCGCCAGCTTCTCTACCCTGTATTGCTTTGAAAATCAATTCCGTGATTAAAAGTATCAAACAGACCTTGAAGTTAGGAATGATCTCATACAAATGGCATTACAGAAACTTCCAAGACAATAAAAATGTTATACAGTGTCCACATGATACTGTCCATTGCAGAAGAGTAGGTAATTATCCTGAAGCAAAGCTTCCAGAAATTATAACAGTATTATTTAGGGAACTAAAGCATTCCAAAAATCTAGTAAAGCTATGTGAAATACTTCCTTTTTTTACAACACTGATTCGAATGGGATTCAACTCTGTTAGTAATTTGTCATCTTCAGAAAGGTAAGAAATGCCTATCTCTTCAGCCACCTTGCTTTAATGTGAAACATTAAAATGAAGTAAATATTATCACATCCTTATGGAGATTTCTTAAAGCAAGAATTGAACTCTCAGTAAGATTTCAGTGAAAAATAACTCATGCTTTTTCTATAGATCTTTGGTGTGTGAGAATTCTATCAAGTTGAATATTATAGACAAAGAAAGATTTTCACTTAGAGTCGATAATCTTCAACATATTTAATCTTCTCCAGATGATGGTTTAAGAAGTTTAAGGTAAAGAAAAAAAATGCTAATAAAAATGATCATGGATATTAAAAACTCACATAAGAAAAATAATTGAGCATATCCATATTATTTAGTTAATTTTTAAGAATATTAAAAGTATAAGACTGATGATTTGTTAAGAATATTAAAAGTATAATAAGAATTTATATGACATAATTAAAGTAATAACTTAATCTTAGCACAGTTGAATATTGTCAAAAAATCAGTGAGTTAGTCATTCAGAATTTCAAAAAAATAACTAGATCCCAAAAGAATCAAATAAGTTAATTGATAAATAACACTTGGAACACATGGTAAATGCCCAATAAATTTTTTTAGTAGTAATATTAGCATCAGTTCAATACAGGTCATTTACTTAATGTAATAGGAAAAGTCTCATTAACTTAAAGTCAACTAATGTAACCTTAATTCTCATTTATAATTTATCAGGTTGAAGATATAGTCAAAGTAAAGAATATTGTAAGTGGAAATACCGTTTAGAAAGTTATTGCAGAAGTCTAAATGACCAAAGAATGAACTATGAAAGTGGAGGTCATATGGAGAAATGGAAAAGAGGCAATATTTGCGGGAAAAACTGGTGAGACGTGGTAGTTAGGGTAAAGAAGGAGGAGGGAGCAGAAAAAAATCAGAAGTTTTGCCTTCCTCCTTATAGAATATGGACAGGAGGTTACAGGTCTTGAGGTGAAAATGAGGAGTTCAATTTAGCATACATTCGATTGGTTTTTAACACATGGAATTGGAAGGCCTGTGGGTCATCCAAAATGAAATGTCCAACACAACAATTAGATACTCAACTCAGAATTTCAAAGGAGACAACATTGTTTGGATTGATTTTTTTATATCATTACAAACAGTATATATGTGGTATTTGCGCTCCAAAATTTTCATTTAATCCATGCTGTGTCACTATTTTTTACCAATCCACATATTATTCCAATGTCTCACTGGTAAACATTCTATCATGTAGACATGCTCTAAACTACTTCCTGACTATTGTTGCTCATTTGAATTCTATTGTAGAAACAGAATTTCTATGCCAAGAAGAACTCTTGAGAGTGTCCAGTTCCACATTTTTAGGAAATGAGAAAATTAATTCCAGTTATGGGTAAGGCATCCAAAGTGACTGAGATCAATAAAGGTAAGTTTAATGACTTAACCAAGGGTTTTTCCCACTATCTCAAACTGTTAATATTCAATATAAATGGCTTGTGTCATCAGACTGAGCCATTTTCACAAGCAAGAAATGAGTCATAAGAATATACTGTGAATGATGAACTTGATAGCACTTAACAGCACATCAATATATATAGGAGGTGTTAAAATAAATTATGTTTTGAACAAAAATTGTGAGGTTTTTTTGGGTCTAAAGTAATATGTGTAGCTTTCATATGCCAAATATCATCCAGAGAAAGAAGTATGCTGATGTGAGTAATTTTGCCAATACAAAATACTTTGAGGACACCCTAAACCAAAGGATAGGTTCCCAATAAACACTATATCAGCCTTACAGGTTTTTAAAAATTTATTAAAACTATTAAAATCTATTACATCTATAAAAAAAACTCCTTAAAAAATCACAACTTGTGGGAACCCTTTTTTCTTTTGCTATTACAAATACCTTACTTTGAACATCACTCATTCAAATGCATGGTTTATATATATAATGCCCAGATTTTGCTTAAATTGTTACTATGTATTTTTATTCTTTTAGATTACTTTGTATGGTTGTATTCCCAATACAGAATAGAAACTCACAAGGCATGATCCTCTTTGTATCACTTCTTACACAATGAACGGAGATACAACATTCCATCACCGCTCAATTAGGGCATTAAAATTGGAAAATCCTCCTATAATGCATGGTCTTTTCCCTTTAATTAGGATGACTGGTGAATGAAAGGGTCTAAGTCATAAAATGTTCCATAAGTGATACTTTATGTTGACACATTTCCTCCTATTCTGCAATTTGAGTTGTGTGAACACACACACACACACACACTTAATCTTAAATTTATTCAAAATTTTAAAATTTATATTTTCATACTTTTTCTTCTTTTTATAAAAATATTTCTAATATCATAAAATTTATTTGGTATGAGACACAAATATAAATTGATTTCCCCTTATATTGTTATAAAAATGTCTCAAGAGAAAAAAACATAATTTTTTCTTGACTGAATAACTTCTTTTGTACTATTTTATCTCTACAGCCCGACTTTCTGCTTTCTATACAATAGAGCAGAATATTGGTAAATGCTACTTATCACTGTTTTAAAATCTGGTAAATAGAGTGATTAATATATCTTAGTCTAAATGTTTTACTTTTAATGTGTATATATAAAATGGTTAGTTAAATTTCAGTCTACCACAATGAAAATCTTATGTTGGAGGTTCTAAAATACTGACCACTGTGATTATAGTGTTTGTGTGTATGTGGCAGAGCAAAACAGACAAACGGAAAGAATAAGAGGCAGAGAGAGATTATTTGTTTGTGTATGTGTTTGTTTAATGGTAAAGATTTCTAGCATCTCTAGAACCTAAAAAATAGTAATTTAAATTTTATAAGTTTTTTTCCAAAATGCTCAAGAATATTTTCTCATAGATCTCATAAATAGTTAAGCAGTAGAAAAGGAGCTCTATAAATTTATAAAAAGAAACACAACTGTTACAGATTCTAAATCAGGAAAAACATGAACTCATAGCAAATACCAAGTAAGGCTAAGATTTTGTAACTTTAAGAAATTCTATGTGATAAAGAATTTCTGACTCTCCTAGAATAAATATTCGCTAGTTACTAGATACATTGTTATAATTTTAAGACTAATATTCTACAGAGAATAGTTTTTACCATACAGTATAATAAAAATGTGAAGACTTATGCACCATTAATGAAAATATATACTTTATATAAAATAACCAAACAAATGGGTATTTGGAAGTTTGATTTCTCAGGAGAATTTTCAAGGGTAAGAATATGAAACTATTGTACTACATGATAAGAAGACAGTTACATCTTTAAGGTTGTGATTCAATTAAATAAATCTATTTTTATCCAGGCCTGTATTTATAATGAGAAGAGTTACCCAATAGATTTAGAGGCCCTTAAGAGCCGGAAAAACTAAAAGGAAAAAATAAATCTGTAAAACCCTATTTTTGAAATCTGCCCATTTCTAAGGAAACCAAAAAGCAGGCAAAGCCCAAAATAGTACTCCATATGCTTGTAGCTGAACTCATTTACTTCAACTGCTGATTGTCAATAAGACAGAAACTCCTAAACCCATCCACAAAAAAAGGAACCCGATGTCAATTCACATGTCCCCACATGCTGTGCTTTTCTTGAATTCTTTCCCCATGTGGAGAACATGCCAGTCCATTATCACAGCCAGTCCCCATTCCCATACCCACAGCTGAGGTTTCCACTCGAGTCTGCCCACAAATAGACTCCCTCACTTCCAATACAAACCAATTGATTGAAGAAAAAAAAAAAAAGGATTTTATTTTTTGTAAAACTATGACATTTTTTTAAGCAGTCACCATTTATAAACAACTAGCAGAGGGCTACAGATAAATAACCAGCCAGATGACAAAACGTAAAACAATGCCAAATACATTGACCAATTATAAATGTTCCAAAATATTGAGATATTTGTTCTTACAGTGACAAATCTTACCTAGAAGTTTGATTGATTGATTTTTAATTTTACTGTAGAACTAAATACACCAGGTCAGAGTAACTCATACATGTTAAATTCCATTTATCCTTAAATCTCTGACTCCACTTTATTTAGCTATGAATGTATCTTACATGCTATAATTTTCATTTCCTAAGAAAACGTGATATACATTTGTGAATCCCTCCTATTTTTGTTCACCTTTGGCATTGATAGTTTTGGTGTTTGATACCCATTAATGTAGTTTACACTTAAAACTTAGATTTAAAAAATTAAAATAAGTTTGATTTGACTAGAAAAAAACATAAGGGAACTTGGGTAGTGAGACAAATCAGTTAAGATGAGGAGTAGAAGCTGTCAAAGACATTTGTTTAGATTGCATGAGGAGCCATACTTACCTACAACTGTGAGAAACATGTTGGCCACAACAAGGCCAAATGAATTCCGAGCCACACATTCATATCTTCCTTGGTCAGCTTGCCCTGCATTATAGATGGTTAGCATGCCTTCACCATTGACATGGAATTTACCACTTTCGGTAATCTGAACACCTGCCTAGGGAGTGAAAAGAATTGTCACTGGAAGAAAATATGATTCCTTAAAAAATAACATCTTACATCTTGTTTGATATAGTTTGATTAGTTCAACAAATATCTACTGAGCACCTACTGTGTCAAGCATTAGATGAGGTATTTTATGAATCTAACGAAGAGAAGAAATGAGAGAGAGAGAGAAAGTACTTTCTAGGAAGTATGGTTTATCTTTCTCTCTTAATTAAAATAAATATGATACTCAAAATTCAATTATGTAATTATTTAATATAATCATTTTAAAATCATCATTCAAAGAATGAATAAATAGTTTATTCATATTTTCTTACTTCTAGAAAAGGATTCTGACAACAACAATAAAATTTGGAAAGAAGGAAAATTTTCATAAATCTACCAACTAAAAGCATCAAAATATTTTCATACTTCTGATTCCTCTTCTATTTCTTCTTTGTATGTACTCATAAGTTTTATGTACCTGCAAAGTTTTATATATCAGTGTTTCTCAATTAAAATTATACCTTAAGAAGATAAGATGACTACATTTCATATGAAATATTATTAAAATGTATTGTTATAATTAGTATGGATTTACATACTTTTCATTATTATGCTATTAATTTTTAAAAAGGAAAAGAAATTGGCTTTCTAGGACTACGTTGGAGTGGAGTAGGGGTAGAGATTCTTCTCTCCTTCCCCTCCCCAAAATACTCAGAGGAAACTGAGGATGAGAGCTGCTGTTTCAAGAGAACTCATACCCCTGTGATGACTAGTAGGCCATAATGTAACCAGAAAGGTTCAGAGTGAAAAAAATGCTTTATAGGTCTTCAGATTCTCACAGTTGTCTTTGACCACTACCAGAAAGGAAGTCCAAAGTGATGGGCTGCTGGTAACTCAGGGGAGGAGATGAGATGAACTAACAGGATCTACCAGGTGGAGGGCAGATGAAAAAAGACTAGACATAGAGAAGGCTGAGAAGTGACCAGGTGCACAAGCAGTAAGGCCCACGGTGTCTTTCCTTTAGGACTACCTCCCTACACTTCCTCTTGCTGGCCCATAATTTCATCTTCTTTGCAAAAGCACTCCCTTCTTATCTGCTCTCCTTACGTATTACCAGAACTCTTAAACTAACCCTACAGTTCCATAGTTTTTGCTTAGAGTCTCTGAGTTATCAGATAGCTTTCCAATAAATTCTTTATCTGCTTATTTTGGGAATAGCCTAATTCACATTCATTTTAACCTTGTGAATAGCAGAGGATTATTATAAAGATTAAATGTGATAACATACACAAAAAACTTCTGGCATATAGTCAGCCCCCAATCAATTCACTTGGGATTAAAAACTACCCTTTAGGAATTAAACTGAGCTATTTTGCTGATATGATTATATGATACAGTCTTTAGTATAATGTCAAATGAGGCTCTAGAGACTGACTAAAATGTGTATTTTTCACACTTCTTATTTTTAGTAAAAAATATTTGAATTATATAATACTACACTCGAAAGAAATTATAAAAACTATTCATACTTGAGAGTACCTGAGCCTAAAGGTTCAACTTTGAGACCACTACATTTACTTTTTATAAAGAACTGCATAACTGCATCTGATGCTCAGCTCAGCACAAGAGAAGTGAACCACCAAAACTAACGCCTTGTTGCTGTATGGCAACAACAAAAATAAACCAAGTATTTTTGGAAAATAGCTTTGCAAGTTTTCACAGTGAAAATTTACTTTTTGTCAAAATTTTCTATAAAAACTGTATGTATTTTGATGTATGCCATTTCATTTATTTTTTAAAAATATCAGAATCTGAGACCAATCATTGCATTCTGATAAAAAACTTAAAGTGAAAGAAGCAATTATGTTGAAAGAATATAGCTCAAAGAACCAAAGGAAGTAAAATAGATAAATAAGAAGTTATTATTTCTTTAAAGTCACTCAAGTTTTAAACCTACAGAAGGACTTTTTTTATGTCACTTTGTTTTAAAACCAAGTTTTTCATTCTTGTTTCAGCTAATGCCCTACTTTTAATCCACTTCTGAGTTATTAATTCAAAATTGTTTCTAGCCACTAAAACTCTTAAATTTACATAAAACCAAAGCAATTTTTCCTTAGAAGAATTTAGTTATGCTTATGAAGCTTTCATCACCAAGCAAATGACAAAGGTTAAATTTATCAAAGCCCTGAAACAAATCAGAGTAGTCACTTAAAAAATGAACAAAAAAGTTTCAGTGTAAAAAATATTACTTGCTAACAAAAATCACAACAGTAATAAACCAACGTGAGAATCACTACCTCTTTTCATTGGGTCAATATATTTGTCAGTGTTTTTAATACTATTGTACCTTTAGTTGAGATCTTACCTTGTTCCAGGTAACTATGGGCTGTGGTTCTCCTTGAGCATGACATGAAATGTTTATATTCTTGCCAACCTCTACACTTGTATCCTGAGGTAGTTGAGTAAACACTGGGAGAGCTGTGGAAACAAATCAAAATGACATCATATCGATACCATTTTTGTCAACACGCACTATCTAAATCAAATGGTATAAATCTAGATATGATATTGGTTAGCCACACTAGTGTTTTAAAAAGCAATTACTTGGACATCAGAGAGAGTAATAAATATCAAAGCCAGGGTACTGATAATTAGGATAGAGATGAGAACAGAAAAAAAGGAAGAGAAATATACAAAGCCTTTAACCTTAAATATTTGTAATATTTATTTCTTGAGCTGAGTAGTGGGTACAAGGATTTTTAGTACTCTTTTTCAATGTCTTTTCATAAGTCTGAGAAAAAGATATATGGTAACATCAAATGTTTATTGCTGGCTAAAATAAAGAGATTCAATCTTACTTTATTTCTTCAAAAAACAAACTATTATGACTTACCTAATATGAAATAGATCATTAGAATAACCCTATATAACTATTAAGGGAATTAAATTCATAATACTTTTTAAACCCCAAAACATAAATTTTTAGGAAAGAATTAAAATCTTTTGCTAGAGAATTTTATCCAACATACAATCTCTTCTAGAAACTAAGAGGAGGACATGTTTCCTGACTTTTTAGGAGGCTTATCTTAATATCAAAACCAGATAATGACAGTACCAAAATCAAAAAGAAAAAAAAAACACCCTACAGACCAGTATCTCTCATTAATATAGAAACAAAAATCATCCATAAAGTATTGGCAAATAGAACTCATCAATATAAAAATGTTTATATACCATGTCCAAAAGAGTTTATCCCAAGGATACAAGATTGGTTCAGTATTTGAAAAATCAATCAATGGAATCTATTATACAAACAAATAAAGAAGAAAATCCTCATAATTTCAATTAGTGCAAAAAGTGTTTGACTAAATTTAACACTTATTTATGATTAAATTAAACTCTCAGAAAAATAGTAATAGAGAGCCTACACAACTTGAAAATGAATATAGACGGGAAGATGGTGGAGGAGTAGGGGACCCTAGTTCTGTCTGGTCCCTGGAATTCAGCTAGATAGCTATCAAATCATTCTGAATAGCTGTGAACTCAACAAGAGATCTAAGAAAAGAATAGCTACAATTCTACAAATAGAAAAGTGACCACTTTTTGCGAGGTAGGAGATGCAGAGATGTGAATCTGAGGTGATATATTAGAAGATAAACCCTGGGGGCAGGGAGCCTGGTACCAGAAAGTAATATAAGCAGCAAAGCACAAAATTGGAACTTTTAGAAGTCTACTCTGGTGGGGGACGTCTCTGCCTGAAATGCACTCAGGTGGTAAAGTGGGATGGAATCACAGGTGGGACAGTGTGGTCTCAGGAATCCTGGAGTCACAGAAAGGAGGGAGGTGTCTGAGTGCAACAGCCTTCCCAAGCATTGGAGCAGGGAAGACAGCTGCAAACAGGGAGTTCAGGAGTGGGCTTTCTGCTGGGTGTTGCCATAAAACATGAACCACTGCACAGGTTGGTGACTGCTCTCCATCACAGGCCAAGCAAGAGGCAGAACTGCAGTGAGACAACCCCTCCTTCCTCCTCTGTATAGTTTGGAGACTCGAAATGGGGTCTCATGCCTGAGATAAAACGCTCCATCAAAGGCTGGTTGAACACAGAATGTGGATGGAAACTAGGGAAACAAGAGTGATTGCTTTTCTGTGAGGGCTCACTGAAGAGTGGGGGGCATGAACTTTCAGCTCTGGGGATGGAGATCAGGGCACTGCTGATTTCATTTTCATTTCAATCCCCCAAAATGGTGCTGAAAGACTTCAGAGAACAAAAGCCACACAGAGCAATCCAGAGCCACTTATACTGAGCCCAGGCCCTTGGCAACAGGGATGCAATTCCACCCAGGCAAAGACACCTGAGAATCAGAGCAACAGGCCCCTCCCCCAGAAGACAAGCAGGAACATCCAGCTAATACCAAGTTTTCTGATCATACAGAACTGCAAAACTCCAGCACTAGGGGAAAATAGTATATAGAATTCATGTTTTTTTCTCATGATTTTTTAGTCTTTCAGTTTTTTTTTCCTTTTCAACTAATTTATTTTGTCACTCTTTTCTAAGACTTTTTTAATTTTCATTTTTACATTTACATTTTATATATTTTTTTTCATTTTTGGCTTCCTTTCATTGTAGTCAATTTTATTTTTGTATATGTATGTTTGTCTTTCTTTACAATTTTGGGATCTAATTTCTTCCTAGCTTATTTTTCTGTTCTGTTCACCTGTTTGATTTTATTCTCTCTCTCTATCTCTTTTTTTCTTTTTGGTATCTGATCTATTCTGATTTGTTTAGTGTGTTTAGTGTGTATTTTTTAGTGTGTAATTTTCTAGGGTCGTTGTTGCTGTTTTTGCATTTAGTCTCTCATTCATCTATTCTTCTCTGGACAGAATGACAAGAGGGGATAACTCACCCCCCAAGAGAGAACAAGAGGCAGTGCTAATTGCCAGGGACTTAATCAGTATGGATATAAGTAAGAGGTCAGAATTAGAATTCAGGATAACAATTATTAAGATAATAGCTGGGCTGGAAAAAAGCATAGAAGACACTAGAGAATCCTTTTCTGGGGAAATAAAAGAACTAAAATCTAATCAAGTCAAAATCAAAAAGGCTATTAATGAAATGAAATAAAAAAATGAAGGCTCTAACTTCTAGGATAAATGAGGCAGAAGAGAGAGTAAGTGATATAGAAGACAAAATGATGGAGAATAAAGAAGCTGAGAAAAAGAGATAAAAAACTACTGGATCACAAGGCGTAAATTCAAGAGATAAGTGATTCCATAAAGTGAAACAATATTAGAATAATTGGGATCCCAGATTAAGAGAAAAGAGAGAGAGGAGCAGAAGTATATTTGAGCAAATTATAAGTGACAACTTCCCTAATCTGGGGAAAGAAACAGGCATTCAAGTCCAGGAGGCACAGAGAACCCCCCTCAAAATAAAAATAGGTCAACACCTTGACATGTAATAGTGAAGCTTGCAAATTTCAGAGACAAAGAGAAAATCCTGAAAGCAGCTCAGGGATAAGAGGTCCCCGACCTACAAGGGTAGAAACATAAGGCTGGCAGCAGAACTATCCACACAGACCTGGCAGGCCAGAGAGGCCTGGCATGATATACTCAGGGTGCTAAAAGAGAAAAATATGCATCCAAGAATACTTTATCCAGCAAGGCTGTCATTCAGCATAGAAGGAGAGGTAAAAGCTTCCAGGACAAACAGAAACCAAAGAATTTGTGATCACTAAACCAACCCTGCAAGAAATATTAAAGGGGATCCTCTCAGTGAAGAGAGAACCCAAAAGTAACATAGACCAGAAAGGAACAGAGACAATATACAGAAACATACTTTATAGGTAATACAATGGCACTAAATTCATATCTTTCAATAGTTACTCTGAATATAAATGGGCTAAATGCTACTACAATCAAAAGACACAGAGTATCAGATTGGATAAAAAAGCCAGACCATCGATATGCTGTTTACAAGAGATTCATCTTAGACCCAAAGACACCTCCAGATTGAAAGTGAGGGGGGTGGGAAACATTTTATCACGCTGATGGATGTCAAAAGAAAGCTGGGGTGGCAATCCTTATATCAGAAAAAAATAGATTTTATTTTTTTAAAGGTTTTATTTATTTATTTGAAAGAGAGTGAGAAAGAGAGATCACAAGCAGGGGGGAAGGGTAGAGGGAGATGCAGACTCCTCACTGAGCAGGGAGCCTGATGTGTGACTCAATCCCAGGACCTTGGGAGCATGACGTGAACCACAGGCAGATGCTTAACAAACTGAGCCACCCAGGCACCCCCCAGACAAATTAGATTTTAAACCAAAGACTGTACTAAGAGATGAGGAAGTACATTATATCATAGTCAAAGGTTCTAACCAACAAGAAGATCTAACAATTGTAAATATTTATGCCCATAACATGTGAACAGCCAAGTATATAAAACATTAATAATAAAATTAAAGAAACACATTGATAATAATACAGTAATAGTAGGGGACTTTAACACCCCACTTACACCAATAGACAGATCATCTAAGCAAAAGATCAACAAGGAAACAAGGGCTTTGAATGACACACTGGACCAGATGGACTTCACAGATATATTCAGAGCATTCTATCCTAAAGTAACAGAATATATATTCTTCTTGAGTGCACATGAACATTCTCCAGACTAGATCACATACTGGGTCACAAATCAGGTCTCAACCAGTACCAAAGATTGGGATTATTTCCCGCACATTTTCAGACCACAATGCTTTGAAATTTGAAATGAATCACAAGAGGAAATTTGGAAGGAATACAAATACATGGAGGTTAAATAGTATCTTACTAAAGAATGAATGGATCAACCAGAAAATTAAAGAACTAAAAAAAAATTCATGGAAACAAATGAAAATGAAAACACAACTGTTCAAAACCTTTGGGATGCAGCAAAGGTGGTCCTAAGAAGGAAGTATATAGCAATACAAACCTTTCTCAAGAAACGAGAAAGGTCTCAAATACACAACCTAATCTTATACCTAAAGAAGCTGGAGAAAGAACAGCAAATAAACCTAAACCCAGGAGGAGAAGAGAAATTATAAAGATTAGAGCAGAAATCAATGAAATAGAAACCAAAAGAACAGTAGAACAGATCAATGAAACTAGGAGCTGGTTCTGTGAAAGAATTAATAATATTGATAGAACCTGGGCCAGACTTAGCAAAAAGAAAAAGAGAAAGAACCCAAATCAATGCAATCATGAATGAAAGAGGAGAGATCATAACCAGCAACAAAGAAATACAAACATTTATAAGAACATATTATGAACAGCTATGTGCCAACAAATTAAGCAATCTGGAAGAAATGGATGCATTCCTAGGGATGTATAAACCACCAAAACTGAAACAGGAAGAAACAGAAAACCTGAACAGACCCATAACAAACAAGGAAATTGAAGCAGTAATCAAAAATCTCCCAACAAACAAGAGTCCAGGGCCA